TTCACACAAATTCTCAATCATTTTTAAACTACAATTATTTTTGTAATAAATATGAAAATATTTTCAAAAACAATTTCTATTTTAAATTTAAATAGTCAAAATACCTATAATGTATTATGCTTTTAATTTCATACCATTATCAACATTTTTCACTTGCCTATAAATGTATGAATGGTATGATCACTATTTAAATTTAATAATAACAAATTACCTGTTCGAAATGTGTTCTCTGATGTTTCGCTCTATCCGAACTGTTACTAAATGCTTTTGAGCAACCCAAAAATTGACACGAATATGGTTTTTCACCGGTGTGTGACCGCTGATGAATTTTTAAATTCTCTAATCTAGAGAATGCTTTTGGACAGCCAGCAAACTGTTGGCAAATACAAATTATATATTTTTATTAGTTTCTCGAATCGAATTTTTTTTTAAACTAAAAAATAATATTATATACATATAGATGTACATTGTATATGCATATATTTTTAAATCTATGTAATATTTATGATCATTATTAAGCGTGCGTTATACTAAAATAAGCCCACAATTGTATAATTATTATAAATTATACTATACATTACATAGATTTCAAGACTTAATGACATTACTATGGAAGCAAAGAAACATTTTCAGGTGATATGAATTACAGATATAGATAATGAATTGCATTTTTATTTATTTATTAGTTAAAGACAATTATTCAATTTAATTTTGATTTTTAAGACGTTTCAATAACACACGTCAAGTGTATGAAATAATAGTAATAGGTAACATACCAACGATGATAATATTATCATAATAATATAAAGTGTTCACACATTGTGTAACCGGGTCGGATGCCATTCAATAAACATGCGAATAATATTGTACATAGAGTGTTGATTATGTAAAAAAAAGCCATATCGGATATTTTTTTCCTCCGAGAAACGCATGATCGTAAAAAAGAAATACGCATTATATCCCTATACTCATAAATAGCAGTCACAGATCACGTCGATTTGACATGATAATAACATATTTTTAATATCATACACATATTTTTTATCTACGTGTGTTKTACGCGGTACCCATTCGCCTAGCACAATATCGTATAATAATATTATATATTACTATTGTGCAATGTGCATACACACAGAGCATCGGTCTATGTGCGTGTGTACTCGATATTAAATGCATCTTTGGCGGCGAGGTGAATACTGCGTACTTACTATAATATATATATAACACAATATACCTACGTAACATTTCACYGAGAGTGGCGGTGCAGGATAATATGTAAAGATAATTTATTATTACTAATATTAGACACGACAAAATGATAATAACATGATATTAAGTTCGCGTCATGGCACGGAAAACGGTGGGTAGTACCATTACAGTGTAAGTACTAAGTTGGTTCATCAGGAGTGTAAGTTGTATATTATAAAGTCGATCGCGTTTCATGCCCCTATGACGTTTAGTACAACAATTATTATTATTGTTGTGACTTGTGACGATATCATTTGGCGCGTTAAAATTTCGATGTACACAAACGCGTTGATCTAATWGACTTTTTTTATAATATAAATTAGCGTTTATAGTTATAGATATAATAATATAATATCGTAAATAATAACAGTGTAACAATATCCGCCACGTTGTTACAATATTTCCAGYGACGGTGTCGGCGGTAAAATCGATAAAATATTATTATTCACAACAACGACCAGCGGGGATGCTACAGGAATTTTAAATTTTTAAATCTGCCGTTGTTTTCAAACTTCTTTAAAATTCAAAATATAATGTGGTAATTGTTTGTTTTGAACCAGTTTATATACATTAATAGTTTTCGATATCRATATAGATACATACCGAAAATATTGTTGTTAGAGTAAATTACGTGATATGATCATCATAACRTTTTCGAGCTAGTAAAATTAACAATTCACAACTTTATGTTTTAGTTATTGTTACTGTTATTCTATTGTACAGTCAACCTGCCTAAATAGCCTATCTGTATGGTCAAAAGTAGGATTTTTATGTCTGATATTTCGGTGAACGTTGAAGTGGTCATTTCTAACACCAACAAATCAATCAATTTTAGATTATATCCTATATTTTAAGATATCAAATGTTGTATACATGATAAAAATATGGATAAAGAAGGGTTAGAAATAATATGAGAACTCTGTGATTGAAAAACAAAATAAATGATATCTAATAATAAGATTATATTTTAACCATACGTAAATCGTAATATTCGTTRCTAATCGCACTTTTGGCGTTTCTTATAACTGCCTTGCATTATCGGGTTCTGTCGGAATTAGGTCTTCAATTATAATATCCAAAAGCTACTGTGCGTGCAATAATAATAATAATAGTTAATTGATTTATTTAAGATTAAACCGATATTGATCATTCGATAGAAACTAGAATTTGGAAGAAATCTCGATACGAATTATCAGATTATTTTCATATGAAAAAATTGTCCCAAGATCATAACATTTGACACTGAAGAGAACGAAATTAGTGATATTATACAACAGTAATATACCTTGTATTAATAATAAATTTATGATACGTTTACATCAGCTCTCATCATGCAAAATCGTGTGTAATATAATTATGATTTGTTCTTGTGTGTTCTACGGTGGCTGATGACGATATAGTAGGTACGCCGACCGAAATAAACCGAATTCAATAGAAACGGGCTCGTACATATTATTATTGCGTAACGCTGCGTTCGGACTGCGCAATGATAATGTGACATATATAATATTATTTACCATCCCCGACAATAAATAGCATTGTAGTATAGCTGATAATATCATGGCAATTTATATTCGTATACAATATATATTGTACCGTACATTATAATATCGTGTTGCACAACATTATAGTATGTTATTATCACCATATTTTGTAGGAGGCGCTTACCGTGCATTTGTTTGGCTTGTCACCCGAATGCACTCGCATGTGTATGAGCAACTTGTACCGGGCGTTAAACGGACGCACGCGCCTTGGGCAGCCCCGCCACTGGCACGTGTACTGCGCGCAGGCGCCCCGGGGAGCGGTGTCCACGTGTAGTTTCTCGATGTGCCGCACCAGCGGTTCTTGACCTGGCCCATCGACTTTTACCGTGCACCCTTCCCATTCGCACGCCAACACTCCGTCGCAGGGATTGCCTGCAAAAAATAAAAATCAACCACGACGATGATGAACCCACTGTATAATATTGTGTTGTATTGTATTATGATATTATCGTAACAACATAGGTCCACACACATTGCAGCGGTGGCGGTGCCGGCAAAATGAAGCTGGACACATTTTACCTCCACCACAGCAGCACCGCCAAGACAAAAGCACTTTACCGCCACCGCTACAGTGTGTTTTTTTTTTCGTCTGCAGCTAAGACGCCWACAATCGTTTTACACAAAATCTACGCATTTTCCAGGAAAGTTGTTTTAAATAGGTATTCCAATTTGAAAAAAAAAAAAACAATAATATACTATTTTTTTTTATTATTTAAATCGATATTTTGGGAAGTGATCGCATTAGAAAGCATATTATGGATCGATGTTATCTTCAGGCCACCATTTATAATATTATTAGTTCCTATCCTATTATTATAGTTTTTAGTGCTATAGCACTTTGAAACATTTKAAACATTTTAAATTTCTAATTTTATTCGAAAGGATATAATATAATCGACCGATAAAATGTTTTTTGTGAAAAAAAATGTACTTAACTTCTCACATAAAACGTTCAAGGTCAAAGTGTAAGAGTGTTGGTGGTGTATGCATATACAGAGGGCAAATGTTATTTTTGTAAAACGAATTTAAACGGAGTTCGCAGTGAGGGACCGATTTTGCTATTCGTCGAAAAGGGGAAGGGGTGGTGCATATAGAACAACTTTTTAAAAGGCTTCGAATGGAAGTTGCTAGGGGTAAGTATATCAGTATATGTATGGTAGTGCAGGGGAGTGGGGTGGAAAAGGATAGTTACGGGGTTGGTTATATATATATATATATATATATGCCATTATATGTATATATACTCTGCGCGTCTATATAGATAGCGTATCAAAGCGGTGCTGCAAAGCGACGACAGCGAATCGCGTGCGTCCGCGACCGACGATAGAAAAAAAAATAACAATCGTTACCGCAGAAAAGCACTCTGAGGGTCAAAGACCCCAAGCGTTGCTGATGCATTCACCCCTCATGTACTAGCTGATGTGCCCACCCCTCACGTAATTGGCCCGGGTTTTCTAGGGAGTACACGCGCATATAAATACGTAAACCTATATAGCTTTTATCCCCCCCTCGCTACCGACCATAAGGCGCCTTCTCCGATACTCGCCCCTGCATCATAACCAATACCATCCCTCGTACCCACTGGGACCATCTCATCCACCGTCAACTACCCCGCTACTGTCGACCGTGGGGTATTATTTGGGTCACGAGTTCCGCGTCTAGGTTCCCATTTTCCCAGTTGTGCGTATACGTGCAACGTTGTACATGTACTACAGTGTACACTGCACACAGGGGGCTCGCGCATAATATAGAAGCATTACGTGTTATAGAGTTTCAGTACCGCACGCTCGTACGCCGAGTTCCCAGAGAAGAAATCGATAGTTTGTTTTCTTCTACGTTTACGAAAATATTATGTTTGCGTTCAAATAGCTCATATTTTTATTAATATGCTGGGATATATTTTACACAACCGACATTTTTGTACCGCATAATCTTTTTTTCTTTTCATATCGACACACGGAATGAAGTTTGCGGATGGGGAGAAGACATCCGTACAAGTCATTAAAATTAGGAGAGCCACAAATTTTCATTAAAATGACTAAATCGTTTCATATTATACCACCGAGTAGATTTTTTTAAACATATTATATTATTTAATTGAGAAATATTTAAAAATTATATTAAAACATTTATTTATGATTCTGACGAGAATAAATTACAAAACTTATATAAATCGTATGTTTATTTGGGCACACTACAGCTATTCGATCAAAATGARCTTTTTTCAAATAGGGCTAGTGTATATCTAGTTGTCTATTTTATAACATTTATAAAAGTCAAATCTCGTAATTGAGCCATTATATTTATAATAATGCAAAGTGATGTCCTCCAAATTTTAGAATAACGACTTTCCATCCTAACTATACTTATTTCAAACTACAAATAATTTTAAAAAGATAATTATTATTGTCATATTCAGATATTCTATTAGCTCAATKTCTACAATTGTATAACTAATTTATTTGAAGTACGAACAAGAATTTGTTAATTKTATTAAATTTGAAACRAAGTCATATAGACCAGAAGRTGGACTTGGATTCGTAAGAAATATATTCTTAGAGAAATAGTTAAATAAACGAAAAAACTACATTTGATTTTGTAAAATCAATATAACATTAATTCTTAGGTAGTTAAAAAATTGTTTTTTGACTAATACAAATAATTAATGATTATGAGACTATTAWTATAATTTTACTGTATATTATAGTTCTTTAGTTCTATATTATATATTTATTCTTGAAAAGAATTGTATTTATTATTATAATTATAATTTATTTATATTCCCGAATTATTATATAATTATATATCTGTATCCTAATCTCAAGTCCCTTTAAAATATATCAAAATTTTATTTATGGCCCAATAATCCAGTAATAAAATGTTAACAATATTCTATTATGCAAAGCATGTAAATATACTGTGGCTCAGTATTACTAAACCATCAGGCTGTATTTGAACCCTGCATAACCCAAGCTAACTCATTATTTTAGGGACATTTTTAAGATACCATTTTATTATTCAAATGGTAACTCATAAGTCATAATTCAATACAGAATTTCTGATCTTCGGAAAGAGCTGAACTCACTCAAAACATTTCAAAGCACATAATTTTTAGAAATTTGATGGTTGGGTTTTATTATTTTTATAGAACAAAAATAATTGTTTATTTTGTATTTGAACCTAATGAGATTCATATAACAATAACATATAAGTATAGCAATCTACATATATTATTCAAATTACTTATAATTTATTTTATATAGTTGATGAGTTTTATACATATATTAACTATAATTTAAAACATAGGTCAATACTTATAGTACGCATAGTGTTACAATAAAATTATAATACAGTTATAATAAAATTAAATTTGATTAGAATAAAATGCATATAGTCTTACCTTGGTAAAGTGGCTCCAAAAATGTGTCGAACATTATAGCATCACAATCGTCCTTGGCCATCACCACCTTCATAACAATTATAATATTATTATGTAATAACTAATAAGTAATAAGTACATAATATAATATAATTATTATAACAACACATTGCCCAGCGATAGCTAGATGTGTAGCATAAGAAATTAAATAAGATTAGTGATGTAATTGAAACACATTACAGTTTATAATTCATTTACTAATATAACTACCTACTATAACATTTATGTGGCTCTTCTTTTTATTTACCCTTTGCTCCCGAACATTTTCAGGGATCAGCCATCTTTGTCTCACACMTCCCTGTATTCCCTCTCCTTCACGTATGCCATCTTTTTTGATTTACTTCGCCCTCTATTTCCTTCAACGAAAATATAGTATCTCTGTAGTCACTCGTCTTGTTGCCTTCGAGTCACCTCTCTTTATTATAACGTGATAAAACCACCTAAATCCTTAATTTTGTCTACAATTCATAAAATGTCTACAYTACACTACCCCTGCAATGTATTTATTTATTACTCTATCATCCCTAGTTACTTACTCCACACGTCCAYCTTAGCATTCTCAACTCTGAAATAGCCACCCTCTGGTTAAGTTTTATTGTACACTGCCTATAGTTCTGATCTAAGTATAGACATTGTATTGCTAGGCCTCTCAACCTATAGCCCTTCCTTTTAATCTCGCCATTAAATCTATTAAATTTCTCTATTAAATCTTTCTYCCCTTTCAAAAATAATAACAATACAATGAACTTATGTATGAGAAAATGAATGTAAAATATGTTTCAAATTTCTAATTAATAATTACTAAGACATTTAAAATTCAAGTATTATACATATTAATATTTATATGTAAGTATTTATGTTTAAACAAACCTGATTATCTGATGCGAGTAACGATTTATCATCCTGTTCGTTCATTAAAAATGGTATGTTAAAACAAACTTCATCGTCGGCGATAATTGTGTGTCCAAATGAATCAAAATCTTGGACTTCCTGAAATACCACATATGTTATGTTATAAGAAGAGAAATATTTTGTTTTAAATGAAGCCTACAGTTAGCTTTTCCAATAAAAAAATTGTTTGTTATCTAATGACTAATTATTTTGATTTTGTAAATTTATATATCTTTGACAAAAATATTCGTTAAACTTTATTTAAAATATTATACTTATTTCAAACAAAATATCATTACTCATTATAACGATAAATTATAAATTTTAAATTTATATACTATATGTTGATGAGACATTACGCGCACGTATGGATATTATAGAAATTATTATAAGTTTCATATAAAACGGTACGGATTTTTACAGAAAGTTTTACATAAATAAATCTTATGATGAAAAAAAACCTATCGTTGGTAGGAGGAGGAGAACATTAATTATATGCGTAAATATTAAACCAAAAATTTAATTACTATAGACACCGTGCTGGGATCAGAATCGATTTTCTTTTTAGCACGATAGTTTTAGAGTTATTCTACAGTGTAAAGAATGTAGCTAAATGCAAATAGCAAATGATTACTTGTCAAAGTTAAAAAATTGTGATCACGTAGGTACTTAATATAAATATTATGACTAATAATGTATAATAACTAATAGAGATCATCTTGCTTTTTGATACGTTTATTTTGATATAATTATGATTAGCAAGTAGCAATAATTATTCTGTACTCCAATTACAATTCAATTTGATGGTTTTATACTTTTTCGGATGTTTAATCTTGAAAAGTGATAAACAAATATTGTTRTAAAAAGTGGATGAAGAATTATCAATGAAACAATAACGGGAAAAGTATATTGAGACAACTTTCAATTTCCATATAAACCAAAGAAATAGAAAAGATGTGTATTATAACCAAACAGTGTTGCGAACAAAAGATATCAATAAACTAAGTATCGACGTCATCACTAATTTATTCAGATGTATTATTCATATTTTTTTTGTACCTGCATTCTCTCCTTTTATCGACAATTACTTAACAGTTAACATACTAAAGAATACATTGTCAATCGGTAATATTAATTATAAAAGGTCAGGCTTGTCAACACTTTTAAAAGTATCTATACTATATATTGCATCATATTGTATTTTAAATCATAAGATAAGTTTGAGAATTTCTTCACAAGTAGGTTTTTCATTTATCTTATACAACTCTCTCAGGCTCACACACAACATAGGTATTATATGTTCTAGTTGCTCCACTGCAGATAAGTATTAGCTTAAAGCTAATTCAACTCATGACATATCATTTGTTTAAAACTCTCAAAATGTACATAAGTGCACTCTGTTTTTTATATTTATTTTACAACAAAAGAACTAGATCTACAAGACTAAAACAAAAAACAATTGTTTGATATGTATATCGTACTCGTATATAATATGCTATGAATATTTTATGTGTATCATGTTAAGTGATGAAAAAGTTTATGTTTATTACATTGTTTTTAGTTTATATTGATTGCTTGCGTAGGATAAAATAATGAAAATAAGTTGGAGTATTTGTGTACAACATAACACATACCAAAAAAAACATATTAAGCAGACAATCGTTTTAACAAGTGAAAACAATGTATCCTACTATAATTTWAAAAAAATAGTTGTTTATGATCTTCGACTGATTTTTAAGTTTATTTTGTATTTTCTAGCAATATAAATGTTAATTATTTTTTTTAAATATTTTCCTGTCGCTATAGATTTGATTGAAATTTAATAGCCTGACTATAGAAACTAATTTATTAACACGATATTTTTATTGCAATTTATAGCATTTTTCTTTTATATTTTAATATTTAAATAAATAAAGAATCGATTTATGAATAATTTTATTTTTGCTTTTTATATTTAAAAATATAATTTTATTAAAACAAAACTATTAAATTATTATCATAAAAATATCTAGTTTTTTTTTTTTGGAATAATGGTCATCAATAATTACAATACAAATAAAAAATAGTGAAAGTATTATAAATCATCATAATCTAGGTAATTGAAAAATTCAATAACTAATAAACAGTAATCTATATTTATATGTAACACGACTATATCGAAACTGGAAGAAAACTTAAATCGATTTTAAGCAAATGTAGACAGGTAGAAGGGATACATATTGTATATAGATGTGTATACACTCCTACAATGTATAATATTATGTTATAAGTAAGCACGTAACGATGAAACTTTTCAAATAAATTCCCAATACTACTTATTCGTCAACAAAAGTTTTAACGTTATAACAGCATAATATTAAAAAAAAAAAACATGTAAAAATTAAATAGTTTTTTTAACACACAACTTCACAATATTCATAATGAAATATTATTAATTTTAGTCTYTCGTATCGAGCCCGTCTCAATATCCGTTATATTTTTATTTGTTAATCGAAACGCATACGTTTCGTGCACAGCTAGGTATCCGAAACTTGGTAAGCAACAGAAACGGATAACATAAAAATGCATTTTAAATTTAAATTATGTGTGAATCTATGTGATCTGGAGCTAGGGAAAGCCGTATTTTGCGATTAACACTCATGTGTGGATATACAGACATAATAATAATAATAATAATAATTTAATTTGATTTTGAAAACGTCTCACCAATAATCCAGGAGCTGAGGTTGATGGTGGTGAGCCTAAGGCGTATGGTTTCCGTATCCTGTGCAGTTGGTCGGAGAAACTCCTGGTGCCGGGTATCATGGGTGGCAAAACGGGCGGTGGCAACGAGTCGTCTTCGTCGTTGTCGTCCCCGGAGTCGGTCGACCGTTGGTGTTGTTGGATGAGCCACGCAGACGACTCGATGGTATACGATGGGTAACCGCCGCGGTACCTCCGGTGGTCATCGCTGTTTTCCGCAGCTGCGGGTCGTGGCGGCACTGGTGCTGAAGGCACGGGCGATTCGGGTCGGCCCAACAATTCCTCGTCAAACCAATCCAGCCCCACGTCCTTCATCCAGTCCTGCGGCTCGGGTCCCAGACAGTCGGCAAACCACATGTAAGGATCCGCGTCGTTTTCGATCTTCATCGTGAYTCTTTCGGTGGTCTTTTGAATAATTGCGCGGCGAATGAAATAGAAATAAAAATGTACCCACAAGGAAGGTTTTCAGAGTCACCACCGTACGGTTTGGACTTCCTTCAGAGTATTTATTTTGCTTTATATATAAAGTAATTGCCACTAACCGCACTGACTTAAATATTGCTGACTTTGATCGATTACTGCCGCGATATACCGCCAATATTATGACAACACAATAACACAGTATATAATATCTTGATTTATATGTACCGCGCGTACTATTTGATATCGGACTAAGATGTGCRATGAACCCGTTCGTCCTCGTGTCCTGTGCAAGACTGGCTCCTCGTCACCTCGGAGAGCACATCATAGGTTCGAAGGGACGTTTCTTTTTTTAATCCTCTGGTATATTAATCACCGAGTCGGCACACGTGATTTTCACCTCCTCCGCATCCCCTTGTCCACCGGCTTTGTGTACAACGCCTCGATCCCTGTCGCCATTACCGAGTGTTTAGCTCGCGTTTTAGACGTCATGTTTGTTTTTTTTTTCAACGCTTTATTTTTCATTTTTTTTTTTTCGTTGTCATCTTTCAATCGGATAATAATAGTTGACGAATATTATTATGTTATTAATTATTTTTATTATTATTATTATTATTATATATAAGTATGCGCTCGCGCATATGTATGTGTGTATATGTGTGTGGGTGTGGGTGAGTGTGTGTGTGCGTTTACGGCGAATAACCAGAAGAAGACGACAATGACTGTAGAAAAAGTTTTAATATTGTGTTGAAAAAAAAGCCAAGTGCTACCATACCGTATGTACACAAACATGTGTACGCCATCGATGGTCGTCCCCCTTTTCGTTTTTTACTGCTATACAACTATATTATATGGTATATACTGTACATAATAATTAATAATAATACCTCCTCTACCGCGCAACATGTCAATTAAACGGGACGGCGTACATTTGGTGACCACAAATAAATATATTTTAATA